GCGTGCGGCTGTCCGGGGCTGCTCGCCGGGGTGCGGTGAACGCCTTCTGGTTATTTGTTTCTTTTTTAATGAAATCCTCATAATCACAGACGCTTTTTAGCGTAGGGGATGTGAAAAGGGGGGCACGCAGGCCATGGGAAACCCCGCCCCAAGCCCTTAAGACCTGTTTATACTGCTGGTTTTTTGTTTATTATCGCTCTATTTGAGATAAAAATACAATACTTTCTTGCTGTTTCACCCTTTTTGCTCCTCAGCATTCTTTTGTCAATTGTAATCCCCACAGTCTTTTCAGCTGAGCTTTAACGCTGTAGAACTGGAATAAAAATAGGCTGTTGAGAACAGCAGAAATATGATAATCCAAGCCAGCCAGCCTCAAGGATACGCAGATCCAGACCGTGAGCCAAGCACTAACGTATTTGTTCAGGTGTTTACCTTGAGCAGCCCCTTAATAGTCAAAGAAATGTTAGCTAAATGTTTCTCACTCCTTACATGCCACAGGCAAAGTAAAATGTGCAGCTACTGCACATCAGCTGAGGTGAAGCATTTTAAAGGTTTAGAAATCTGAGCAGGCAAGTTGTGGTAACAGCAGTGTTTGGGTAGTTTTGAGCTAAGATAGACAGCAAAGTACAGCGCTTGTTTCTGCATGCTTTTTACGTGTGGAGAAGGTGTTTTCTACCTCTAAATTTACTGTAAAGAAAAGGAATTGTCATGGTTAATATGAAAGCTGAACATGCTAAATTGGCATTAAGCTTATGATGAGTAGCTCAAGGCATGTTAAAAAAAATTTAGGAGTGTGCCTGTGTGCCCTACCAGTCAGCTGAAGCTCAACTATTTCAAGGTGGAAAAAGGTATTTGCTGTCTTTTTAGTTGAGTTATTTAAGCCCAAGGTTTTTTTTAAAGTCTTGTTTAAAGCTTTACTAAATGAACACTTGGTAGGAACAAAACTGTAGGCAGTTTCAGTAAAAAGCTGATAACACCTAGCCAGTATTGTGGGGGAAGGAATAATGCAAGAGGTTCCTTTGGAGCTGCCTTGTGCTGCTGAGAGCCTCAAGCACAAACATGAAAGAAGTGTCTGTGTCCTTCCACTGTCTGTCTGGAGTTGCTGTCTATTTACAAAGTATTGTCCATTGTATAGAAACCTTCCATACAGCATGGTTACCCAAGGAACGAGTTTTCCTGGCTTAGCTTTTCTGAGAATGTGTCTTGAATTTTGGCTTTGTGGTGTTCATGGAAAAATAGGGAAGTAGCCAGTGCCTGGAAGAGAATTTTAGTTTTCTTTTGTTTGTCATCTTGGGTGCTGAGACAGTGTCCTGGGTAAACATATCAGTTGCAATGAACTGGAGGGACCCATTGCTGACAGGCATTTGTCTAAATGCATTTTTTTAAATGCCCCAGCCATAGGTATTCTGTAGTTTTCCACAGGCAACCCCATGTGCTGCTTCACATTTCTGTCCTTTAAAAAACTTCTTGCAATCTAAAGTAAACCTCTTGCTATAATTCCAGCCAGCCTACTTTTGCCACTACAAAACTTTGTGTTTTGAGGACTGCTACTATGTCTCCCCCCAGTTCTTCAGACGGAACAAGGTCTTTTGGTTTAGTCCTTCCTCATAGCTCATGACGTGTAAACACCTCCCCATCTTTGTCCCTTGAGTGTTCTGTTTGGTGTGGCCTGGGTTGGGTTTGAAGGGTAGTGCCCAAAACTAGATACTGTAGTGGCGCAGAAGTCTCAGTGTTGTGGCCAGAATAGAAAACCTGTGATGTAATTTACATGCGGGATGCCCTTATTTACAAGTCTCACCTTTCTTGATGACACACATATAATAACTTCAAGTTTTAGCTCTGAAGTACACAGCTCTTCCATTAAGGCTCAGAGCCCAAGACCAAAGGATGTGAAATGTGGATATTTTTGAGGAGGAGGAGAAGTTGTGGCCTCCCTGCTGGGCATCAGTGACAGCTTCTGCTGCCGTCTCTGGAGGGATTACATCCCTTTTGCACAGTGGAAGAGCAATATATTTTAGAAAAGACTGACACATGTACACCAGAGCTTGCCTTTGTAAGATTTCCCTGAAACAACAAAAAATCAAGCAGCTTATTTTACCTTCTAAATAGCTCATACTGTTACTTTTTTAAGGAGCACAGCTACTATGTTGTAGCAGGCTATTTGGGCTACTTAACAGCACTTCTGGGCTTCAACAGTGAATAGAGAAGTGCACACTTCCCATTTACCCCAGGAGGGGTGCTTTTCAGAAATGAGATTTCTTTTTTTTAAAAAGCACATGAATCCAAAAAGTCTTGGAAAGGTCAAACAGGCAGTTGAAGTGTGGATACGCTAAAGTTTTTTAAGATGAACAAGATTAGTCCAAAAGGGGCCAATTCTGTATAGTACAGGTCAATATGGAGTGTAAAGTGATAAATAAAATGCTTTCTACATCTTCCTTATTAAAAAATGGAGTGGGTTAGAATCTGGCACAGAAATGTAATGGAAGTAGAGAGCTGGGACACGCTGTTGATGTGCTGCTTTGCAATATTGCCCAGAATCTCTCAGCTTGGGAACCATGTCAAAATCCATAGGTGTTAGAGAATGCTGCTCCTGTCAGGCAGCAGAGACACAGTTGTGAACTTTATCTCCCAATTCAGCTTACAGAAGTGACATAAGGAACTTTGCATGTAAATAGCGTTGGGGGTTTTTGGTGGGTCTTTTTGTGTGGTGTTTTTGGAGGATTTGGGAATTTTGGGGGTTTCTCTAAAGGTACCTACTCTTATTAGCTTGATGATAACTCCTCTCTACTGGAACCAAAAGTGAGAGCGGCATTTGGAATGCCCAAAAGCAACAGGAACCAACTGATGTCCTTTTGATCAGTAAATAAAAACTAAGTTCCAGTATCCTGTTTTCTGCTGAGGCTTGCTAGCAGACCATGCTATTTGTGTTAAGCTAGTCAAAGCAATGACTTGTTCATTAACACATTTTTACTTTTCTGCAACCTTTTACTGTAAGATCATTGTCATTCCTGTAATCATAACAATCATACTGTATTCCAAAGATACAGATGGTTTACAGTGCTATATAACAAATACTACAGTAGATGTGGAAGCTGGGCTTGTCTGAATTTCTGACTATTTTTCTTGTCTTTTCCTTTTTTCAGGGTTTCGCAAAAATGATGAAATGAAAGCTATGGAAGTATTGCCAATTTTAAAGGAAAAAGTTGCCTACCTTTCAGGTACAGTTTTCTTCTGTTGTGGAATACATCACTGGGTTGTCAATCACATACAAAATGGTATTTTTAATACTTGAAATATCATTATGAAAGTCATGGAAAGTTAGGGTAGCATCTATTTCAGTTGAATATTCCAAACACAACATGAGCATTGTGAAAGGACCTGTAATAAAGTAAGATCTGTGTTTTGTTAAATGTGGAACATAATTCTTGTCATCCTGGTTGTGTCCTGTCCCTCCAGCCTATCCAATGGCATTATTTAGACAACTTGCTGTACCGTAGTCCTGTGCCTTCTCTTATTTTTGGTTCTTCTGCTGGAGAGTTTTACAGAGATTTGTTACTGGCCTGTCTGAAGTACTGAAGAAGTATCCCTGTTGCAGAGGTGAAATTTTGGTGCCATTTCAGTGCATATCTTCTGAAGTGCACTTAATATCTTCATGGTGAAATGGCTTGGCCTCTAATTTTAGCTGTCTCCAGCGTACACCCTAAAGTTTGGTTACTTAACAATTTGTTGAGTTGCTTGGTTGCTTAACAAGGTATAGCAGAAGGTTTAAAAGTGGAGTTTAGATGAATGAATATCATAATGTGTTCTATAACCTGATATGTAACTTCACTTGATGGAATGATAGCTGAGGTGCTTAGTCTTTTGAAATGCATTTTGGTGTGACTTTCTGAAGTAAATGCTTTCAGATCTCTTAGGATTAAGCAATGTTGTTCTCTTTGCCATAATCTCAGTGTCAAGTGATTTAGGGCACAGTCTCAAGCGTGAAAGTTGTTTGGTTTTTTTTTTTTTCTCCTAAATAATTTATCAAGAACTCAAAAAATAAAGCTTTTCTCTATAAATTTTAAAACATACCAAATGATCCCTACAATTGTGCTCTTTAGAGATTTGCTGTGCACAGATGCTGATACTTGCATCTGCAGTATGTAGTTCACAGTAGTTCATCCTGTCCACTCTGCTGAGTCAAGTGGAGATGTAAAGCAAATAAAGATGTGGGGCAGTTTTTGTGGGTGGTTTTTTTTTTTGGGGTTGTTTTCATTTGTTTGTGTGCTTTAAAGGTCCTGGCAACTGTAATGAAAGACATAACAGACTGCCCAGAGCCAATTTCCCTGGAAGCACCCAGTTCTGCTGCATATGAATTGCAGTGCTCATGAAGGCTTGCTTAAAACTACTGTCAGAGGGGAAAAAAAAAAAGCATGGTGTTCCAGTCCCTCATTAAGAATTTTCTTTGGACCTTGCTTTATGGTACTTAGTGGTACTTTATGGTACTTTACCTAAACATAAGGAGAAACTTCTTTACTGTGAGGGTGAGGGAGCCCTGGCACAGGCTGCCCAGAGAGGCTGTGGAGTCTCCTGCTCTGGAGATTTTCAAAACCTGCCTGGATGCAATCCTGTGCAGCCTGCTCTAGGTGACCTCGCTTTAAGCAAGGGGGGTTGGACTAGATGGTCCCTAGAGGTCCCTTCCAACCTCTGCCACTCTGTGATCCTGTGAAAATGTAGTGAGTTTCCATTCCAAAACCTGTGAATTTCCAGGTTGTCAAGAGCTTAGTTTGGACCTCTTAAAAGGGATCTGAAAGTTTATAAGTATTCTCTAATATTAATTTGTAAGCATATGGCATTCTCAAAAGGCATTAATTTAGTGGAAGTGAAGTAGGTGAGATGAAAGCTGAAGATAAATTTAAAGGGAGGTAATGGACTATGAACCAGAGCAGACCAGGTGCAGGCAGGAAGAAGTGGCTGCCAACTTGCCTGTGTGAAGGTAGCAACTTCTGACAGAAGAATGAAGGAAACAGCTGTGGGCAGCAAGTCTGGCCAGAAAAGATCTGCCAAAATCCAGTTTCACATTTCCACTGCAAGTGAAGCAAATGAAATAAGTTATATTAGTAATGCAAGTGACATGAAACAATCAAACACGCACACCCCCAACACAGCTACCACCACCACTAGGGCTTAACCACGGTGGAATTAGAACTGTCAAGCTTTATACCTGGGAACACAGGGGTGAGGAGGACTATTGGATTACTGACTTACAGAGGCTTTCAATGTACTTTTTTTTTTTTTTTCTTCAGGAGTACAGCTCTTTCTCAAGTACTTGGTTTTAATATTTGTAAGCACAGTAACTCTCTAAGGTCTGTAGAAGTAGGACGGATTTATTTGGAATATCTCTAATCAAACTCAGTCTAAAGGTAATGCTTAAGTTACCTCTGTTAAAAACTCTAATAGTCCCAATTAAGCCTAAGGCATCCACAAATATCACTATAATTTTTTTTTATTCTCTCATTTATGTTGGAGTTGTGGTAGATACCATTATACTATATATACTATATAGATGTAGTTGTTCCTACCTATTAATTGTTGATTGTTGAGTGCCTTCCAAGTAGACAAAGTATGACAGTCAACAGTGCAAAGAAATGGTTCTATTTTATAGAGCAGGAAAATTACACATCTAACAGTCTGAGAAAAAATCATGGGGGGTTTGAGATCCTCTGCTTACTTTTCCAATCCCTTCCCTGCTGAGACTTTCCTGTCCAAGTTAAATGAGCAAGTATGGGCTGTGTAGCAGTGTGTTCATCTATGTATTTTTGGCATACTGAAGTCTGATCTTTCCACAGTGCTGACTTTAAGTCTTAAACACTTCTTGAGACCAGCTTATCGTGAGATGGACATAAAAGGGTGAGCCATCGTACAGAGAGACCTGGACAGGCTGGAAGAGTGGACTAGCAAGAATAGAATGAAGTTTAATGGAGACAAGTGGAGAGACCTCTGCCTGGGTCAGAATAACCAAAGAGTCAAGTAAAGGTTGGGGTCTGTGTGGCTGGGGAGCAGCCTTGCTGAAAGGGATCTGGGGGTCCTGGTGGACAAAAGCTGAACGTAAGTCAGCGCAGTGCTGCTGCAGCAACCAAGGCAGATTGGATCATGGACTGCATCCACTAGTAGAGATAGGTATGTGATTATCCCAATCTGCTCAGTGCTTTTCAGGCTACACCTGGAGTACTGTGTCCAGTTCTGGTCCCCACAGTTAAAAAATGCAAACACATTGGAGAGGGTCCATAGGAAGGCCATGAAGATGAGCCTTCTCTCCAAGACCTGGAGAATGTGCCCTGTGAGGAAAGACTGAAGGAGTTAAGTCTTTTCTCCCTGGAGAAGAGAAGGCTCAGGGAATACCTTATCACAGCGGGCAGCTACAAAGAGGATGGATGCACTCTTCACAAGAAGCTACACGGAGAAGACAAGGGGCAATGACTCTTTCCATCATAGGTAGCTCCTAAGCCATTCTTGAGATGATGTCCTGATCCAATAACAAATGTGGGTGTTTTAATCAAGGTAAAAGTCTTGGTAACAGATGCTCCCACTGAAGTATTACTTTTACTCCCAAGTATACGATGTTGTGATTGAACTGTATTTATGAGAGTTTCTCTTTTTCTCCTCCAACAGGTACTTCTTCAACCTGTGTTAGCCTAAGTTTTGCTGTACTTTTCTATCACTTTGTTTCAGTCTTTATTATTCATTTATTACTTTCAGTTTTGTTTGGGTGGACATGTTTAATAGATGTACTCAACATAATTTTTTTTGCACATCACTTTGACAAAACTATTTCAGTAGTTGTTTTTCCTCTGTCACAAGTCACAATAGACCTGATGTTTTCACTTTTGCATTTTCCTCCATCATCACAATTCAGTGTAACCCCCTTTACTGAGCTGTTAATTATATGGTTTTGTAAATTTAAAAAAAAGTGCATTTGTTTCTAATTCAGTGTATCTGAATATGTATTTAGATGGAGGAGTGTTCTTTCTTCTTGCCTTTGTTATCTGTAGCACTAGTCAGGAGAGTGTTGCGTTTTTTGGGGGGATGTATTTTTTTTTTAAAAAGGAGGTAAATGTAGAACTAAATTTTGTGCAACAATATACAACTGAGGACCATGGTGCAGGTAGGGATGCCATCCAGAGGGATCTTGACAGGTTTGAGAGATGGGTCCATGTGAACCACATGAAGTACAAAAAGACCAAGTGCAAGGTGAAAGTGCATGGAGAAAGACCTTGGAGTCCTAGTGGACAGTAGGTTATCTGTGGGACAGCAGTGTGCCCTTGTAGCCAAGAGGGCCAATGGTATCCTGGGGTGCATTAATAGAAGTATGTCCAGCAGGTCTAGAGAGGTTCTCCTCCCCCTCAACCCTGCCCTGGTGAGACCTCACCTTGAATACTGTATGCAGTTTTGGGCTTCCCATTTCAAGAAGGACAGTGGTCTTCTGGAGAGGAGTCAAACAGAGAGCTATGAGGATGAATGAGGGTCTTGAATATCTCTCCTATGAAGAAGGACTGAGAGAACTGGGTCTGTTTAGTTTTGAGAAAGCTGAGAGAGGTTCTTATTAATGTGTATAAATATCTGAGGAGTGGGTGTCAAGATGAAGAGGACAGCCTCTTTTTGGTGGTGCCCAGTAACAGGACAAGGACAAGGAATAATGAGTATAAACTAGAACACAGGAAGTTCCACCTCAACATGAGGAGAAAATTCTCTGCTGTGAGGGTGACAGAGCACTGGAACAAGCTGCTCAGAGAGGCTGTGGAGTCTCCCTCTCTGGAGACTTTGGAAACCTGCCTGGATGTGTTCCTGTGCAGCCTGCCCTAAGTGATCCTGCTGTGTCAAAGGAATTGGACTAGATGATCTCAAGAGGCCCCTTCCAACCACTGGTGTCAATACAGGCTGGAGGATGAAGGGATTGAGAACAGCCCTACGGAGTACCTACCTGGGGATACTGGTAGATGAAGAACTGAACATGAGCCAGCAATGTGCACTCACAGCCCAGAAAGCCAACTGTGTCCTGGGCTGTATCAAAAGAAGTGTGGCCAGCAGGTCGAGGGAAGTGAATCTCCCTTTCTGCTCAGCGCTTGTGAGACCCCACCTGGAGTACTGTGTTCCACTCTGGGGCCCCCAGCATAAGAACGGTATCGACCTGTTGGAGTGTGTCCAGAAGAGAGCCACAAAAGTGATGGGACCTGGAGCACCTCCCCTCTGAATACAGGCTGAGAAAGTTTGGGTTGTTGAGCCTGGAGAAGAGAGGGTTCCAGGGAGACCTTGTTGCAGCCTTCCAGTACTTCAAGGGAGCCTATTATAAAGCTGGGAAGGGACTCTTTGAAAGGCAGTGTAATGATGAGATTAGGGCTGATGGTTCTAAACTGGAAAAGGGTAGGTTTAGGTTACATTATTAAGAAAGAAATCTTTACTCTAAGGGTGGTGAGATACTGGAACAGGTTGCCCAGAGAAGTTGCAGATGCGCCATCCCTGGAAGTGTCAAAGGCCGGGATGGATGAGGCTTTGAGCAACGTGGTCTAGTGGGAGGTGTCCCTACCCATAACAAGGGAGTTGAAATGAGGTGGTCTCTAAGGTCCTTTCCAACCCAAACCATTCTGTGATTCTAGATGAGTCATCTGGACTTGTTAAAATTTTCGTTTTCCTTGTGTATTTCAAAATATATTGGTGTAGCTGTGATGCTCAAACTGTTAAAGAAAGGTAAGGGTAATGATTTGATGGCAGTTGGAGTGAGATGGAGAGGTGCAGTCTCTGAAAATTCAATTCTGAAACAGACCTTGAAGCTGGTATTGTTTTGCTAGGGCGGGAAGCAAGGAAGTACAGAACAAATACTGCTGTGAAGTTCTGGGGAGTATGTCTCACTGTATGTACGTTGGTAACTGGAAGGTCCCAAAGCTCTCCAAGCTGACCTGGATTCTCCTATCTGTACAAAGTGATTCTGGGGTAAATCCCATATCAGAAATACTTGCCCTTCTTGAAACCAGTCTGACAGACTGGACTGCTTTATCTTGTATTGTTCAAAGTAATAACTTGGTGTGTAGAATGCAAAAAGCTTCGGTGCAGGTTCCCTGTAAATCCTGGGTTGCTTTTCTAAAGTTGTCCACAAAGTAGTTCTCAAACAAAAACAACAACAGCCGGGAGTGGGGCCAGGGACACACACACACACGCTTCCTTGAACTGATTGTCACCTAACTGGGAAATAATCTGCTTGAGTATTGGGTGTTTCACCACCTATTTCACCAGAAATAGAAAGGCCTCCAAGAGATTTAACCATGAAGCACAAATGAAGTCTTGGATGCAGTTTTTTATTAAGTTTAAACTGAAGTCTGTTGAAGTTACAGATATTACATCTCTACACTTGCTTACCCAGGGAGAGCATCTTCTTACAGAATACGTTATCTTATATATGAGGTTTATATGAGGAAATAGCACTTGATGACTTGCCCTCCTTCCCAAACATAGCATAGAAGCCCACTGTTTAGCTTTACCTAAGTACTTTGAAACTGGGTAAAAAGACACTTCCTGAAAAAACTGCACAAGGCAATCTGTTGGATTTTAGTGCCATTTGGAGACCATTGACTGGACTGCTGTTAGTGATGTTCACCAGACAGAAGTGATTCACACTGGGTGACTTGTGAGCTGATGAGCTACTCATATGACATGTCTTGGCATAGACAGAGATAATATCTCAGTACTGTGGGGGTTTTGTATGAAAGGAAAGGGGTGAAAATGGAAGTCTCACTGCTGAAAGTAGTAGCTTAATATGTTTTTGTTAAACCAAGACAAATAGAGAGTTGAGGTAGATAAAGACTATTATGAGACAGGAAATTCCCACCTGGTGCCTCATACATCGTTGTTTTTAACATTCCTCTTTGTGTATGACACAGGAGCATCAGGAACAAAGGAAATGAGAGTTACGTATTTGGGAAAGGCCTAAGAGAGCTTTCAGTATAGCTGATGAAAAAAACAAGTCATGGGGACTTTTTTTGTTTAATATTAACAGTTTTGGTATCTGGTTTAAGACTGGATAGTGAAATTCTGCACCAAAAATCAAGGCTGTATTAATTCATTACTCATCTAGATCTGAAATTTGTGCAACAAGTTCGTTTCTGACGTACAAAAATTTCAGGACACGATATATCAGAAATTTAAGCACCATACTTCAAAAATGGATTTTATCTGTGGTGTATGTGAGGCTGGGAGCTAACTGAAGTGACATCCAAAATGGCATAAAGAATATGGATTTCTTTCCTCTGCTGTGTTGGAAAGTTGCATGTTACAGGAGTTGTGTGGGAGAGGCCTGGAGGACTGAGATAAGGAGACTGCATATAACAAGGCATTTGTTTAAAACCCATAGAGAGGGTTAAAGACAATTTAGTGTATGCTCTTCCCTGCTAGCTGTTGCTTTTTAAAGAAGAATTTCCACCCTGAGCCATCGAGCACTTTTTCTGAGGGTTGGAATCAGTGATGTTTACCAGCTGAAACAGAAGTTTTTAAGATCCGTAGCTGCGGGGCTGCAGTGCACTGAGGAGACCATTAAAGGCTGCGGGAGACTTTCAGCTAAGTTGGGCAGCTCTGGAGCCCAGTGATCACTCTGGAGCTGAGCGGAGGCCGGGGCTGTTGGACTCTCCGTCTTGTCATTTATCCTTCCTCTCTCTTGTGACTTGTGTCTTGTTTTTAGCCTGTCACTTCCTCTGTAAAAATCCTCAAAGCTCTCTGCTTGGCAAGTGGGTCGGGATGGTCAAGACCAGACTTGCCCTGCTCTATTAGAATGAGACTGCTCAATTGTTTTTAATCTCATGTCCCACTTAAGAGGGTCATGAAAGATACGAATATGAATTTTCTTTTAAGTTTAGGTTTCTGACATTGCAGCTTGACAGAAATTCAAAGCTACATTTGTCTCTTCTGAGTTTCATTTGGCACCTCGTGGGGCAACATGTCCAGCGCAGACAGTCCCCGGACACCTTGACAGTTAGACTTAGTATCTCTAGCAAGCACACACGGACTCTGTTGGGAGGATGGTGGTGAATTTTTGAGTGACTGGTTTTATTCATTTGCTTTTGGCCTTCCTTTCAAAGGGATTTTTTTAAAACTTTGTTTAGTAACATGGATTTACAACAAGAAATCATTCAGGACATATGTGGGTGCATAAAACCACTGTCCTATCTGTGATTGAGAGCATAGATGTGAAATTTAGCTTGTATAAAGAGAGCCTACTGATGTGGATTTAGCATTTAGTAATAGTAACATGTCACTAGGCAGGTGTTGGGTATAGAATAGCATTTTAATGTTCACCTATAGGAAATGTGCAGTTTAATGAATGAGATGAATACATTTAAGTGGAACCACTCAAAGTCAGATTTTTTTTTCCTTATGTATTAAGTGGATTCAGAATTTCCCACATTGCTAACAAAATTAAAACCCATAAACTTACAGTTCAGAATCTACACATGAGAACAGGGTAAAAATGTAAATTAAATGCTTAAATAGTATCCATTTACTTGTCTAGTGTATATACAATGCACGTGAAATAGTATATACATAAACTCAGAGCTTGTAATGAAGTTAATGCTGAGCATCCTCTAAATACTTGCCTACAAAGTAGTGTAACTCTATATTTATTCTGTACAATTACTGGTTCAGAAGTTAAATACATAACACTGGAGATGTTACACTGCCAGTCAAACTTGAATGTGACTGTAATGTGTCAGTGCAATGTGGTTATTCTTTGTTTCAGTTTTTTTAACAGATACTTCCTCATTGTAGGAATTATGACAATATGCTGATTGATACACTCAAAATTAAATTTTAATCTGGTCTCTAAATTACAGTGTTCATTTAACTTGAAATCACTTATTTTTTTAAGTGGGTATTCATGAAAAAGTGTAGGACTTAGGTTTTCCAAAAGTATTCTGAAGACTTTGCAAACAAGAACGGTCTTATGCTGTGGGGTCTTTTAACACTTTTAATTTTTCAGGTGGCAGAGATAAGCGTGGAGGTCCCATTCTAACGTTTCCAGCTCGTAGTAATCATGACAGAATACGGCAAGAAGACCTTAGAAGACTAATTTCATACCTAGCGTGTATTCCTAGGTAAGTGATGGCTGCTTGATAAGTTCTGAAGCTATAAAACAAAAAAAAAAAATTGAGAATGTTGCAGTATACCCACAAGCTAGAAGGCTGAACAGGTTAGGAAAATGAGCAAATTCATAGCAAGTTCTGTCAATTACCGTTTTCAAACTGCTTTTTGGAAGAGACCTAAATAATTGCTCTGCCTTGTAGAAGGAAGGCTATTGGCAGAATGGCTGGTGTGCCTTAGTTGCAAGTAGTTTGTGCTTTGGAAATGCGGGGAGTGAGGTCAGCACAACATTCCTCTTATTTGTATTAGGCAAGTTACAGTGTCCCGTTATAGCACAGGAATAACCAGGAGTGAGATACTGCTTGTACAAGTCTCAGATAAACCTGTGGAGATACCTGTGAAAGTACTGATGTCATTGTTTTCTCAACAATCTAAATGAATTGCAGTGTGCTATTTAAATAAATCTGCTGAAGTCAAATCCAGTGCTACTGTGTGTACGTATACACACCCACATTATATATATTAAGTTTTATATGTATATATATATTTTTTTTTAATAAAAAGAATAGCCTTATGTATTATTTAAATGTAAAAAAGTTTGTTCACATAGAACTTTGTTCCTAGTAGTAACTGAATTTGAGACAAAAATGATTGTAAGACCCTGACTTTAGGTCCACTTCAGAACCTGCTAGCATTTAGTGCAGGCTGGAGTAAGGCTGGCTGTACTTGGACACGTTTGCCTATGACCTCAAGGAGAAGTTGTCATTACAGTTGTAAAAAAGCCCTTGGACAACATCCCTGACTGCAGTTACCATCCGTGGTTCTGTAATGTGTTAATTTATAGGCAGTCTTCTTTGCACCTAATGTAATCAGATTCAGAATCAGCCTGAAAAAAGTGCTTTCATAAACCTAACTCCAAGATGCGTAGTTGAACCTGTGTGGCCTTCCTTGAGAGCAGTTGTTGGTAGTTCAGTTATTCAAGTCTTTATTCTTCTTTGAAGCATAGGGGTGTTTACTACCTTTTTGGCTTTTTTGTTAAGTTAACTTGGAGATATACAGAGAGGTAGCAGAAGGAGGATGGGAAGAAGGCTTGAGATTTTTATTTCTGAGATAATTTGACATCGCATTTGGATGTTTGAGATGCACTCTAGCCCTCCAGAGCTTCAAGTTACTAGAGAAGTTAATAGATAAATATACATCAAAATATGCCAAAGAGAGTTTTCCAGAGATAATCTGGCAAAATACAATGGTCCTCTGACAAAAGATATATGTTAGTTTATCTTAAATAGATTTAAAATTAGAAATAAAGTTCCTACAGGTTTTATATCTCTGTAAGCATGGGAAAGCTTTGAGAATAAAGGAGCATTATTAAAAGCAACACTCATTTTCATACAAGACATGTTTTAGGGACCAATCATGCAGCTCTGGCTAATGAAGAAGTCCCAGTTGGTACAAATAGCCCTGAATATTTGGTTGGTCTGTTAGTTATTGTTCGGCAAGAGATCTAAACACTTAGGGTGATTCAGTCTCATGGTTTTGCTAATTTAACAATTTATGCAATTGAAAAATACTGCTAAACTTAAGTCATCAGTGCTGACTGGGCCAGGTGTTAGGTGTTCTGGTTCACCTAACAGATGACCTTGACTGACTGAAGCCTCTGAGTACAATTTTTGCGATCCTTGGCTGAAAGGGACTCATCTTTCAACAGATGGTGGGGCCACAGAATGGGAGGACACGTCTACATTGTACTACATGATGAGGGGCTGCTTTGCACACCCCAGTAGATGTGTGCCTCATGAATTGGTGGCAAGCAGTCCTCCTCATGCAGTGCGCAGTTTGTGTGGTATGATAAGGATGGGCCATGTTATCACTTCTTTCAGAAGCTCTTCTGATCTCCTGTGTCAGTCATAACTTATGTTTTTCTACACCGTGGCCAATAAGACAGTGTGGAGTATGCCAGTGGAGCTTCCCTGCTTCTTGGACATTGAAAACTTCACCACATGAACTCCAAAATTGCATTTACATTAGTCACATCAGTGAAAGTGACTCATGTACTCAAACAACAGACATTTGGTCCCTTTTAATAGTCCATTCTCTATGATACATTGGTTTTGAAATATTTTCCCTTTCCATTTTGACAGGGTCATATAGCAAATTCTGCTGGATCAAAATAAAAATTTCTGGCGTTGGTAGTGCTTACCACTTTTCATCAGTGGTAAGCACTAGATGTACAAAAGGTATCGATGAAAAGAAAATAAAAAGGAAAATAAATCTGCCAGTCTCTGAAGAATTTGAATGTGGGGTCCGTCAACTTTCGGATAGCAAAATTGAGCTCAAATTTTGTAGAAGCAGTTTGATGTATTTTTTTTCATAGCCGTAAAATGCTTTCTTATACCATAAATATCCACAAATGGGACCTGTTATAGAAGGAATTGTCAATAAAGACTATTTTCCCCCCTCAAGATTCTTTAACTCAGATAATATGGAGTTAAATCTGAGACACTTTAAAAAAATGGCAGAAGTGGCAGATAAGAACAGTATGCCATCTTTCAGAGGATCCCCATAGCCATATGAAAGGCATAAATTTTGTCATCAGTAAAGTGAGTGTTCTGAAGAGTCAATTGTAAATGAATTACATATTGCCACTTCAGTAAATGCTGTGTTTAATGTGTGTGTAAGGTGAAGGAGAAACAAGACTGGAAGATGAATCATCATGAATATAAACAATGAAAATGAAAGAGGAGATAAAGGCAGATTACCAAATCAGCAACAGGTGTAAAGCTGTCACCCGCAAGGAGTTTGTCAGGGGGTGAGAGAAACTTCCTGAGAGGTCTGAGATCTGCTGTACGTCAGCTCGCCAACAATGGGACCCTAGGGTGTTATGGTCAGCTGAGGAGACCACGTTCATTAGGCAGTGTGGTGCAGTAGGGTGCTGTGTCTGAAGTTGTAACACATGCTTGACAACCTTTTCTTCTTTCCTCTGCAGTGAGGAAGTGTGTAAACGAGGATTCACCGTCATTGTAGATATGCGTGGGTCAAAATGGGACTCCATAAAGCCTCTGCTGAAGATTTTACAGGAATCCTTTCCATGTTGTATTCATGTTGCACTGATAATCAAGCCAGATAATTTCTGGCAGAAACAGAGGACTAACTTTGGCAGCTCTAAGTTTGAGTTTGAGGTAATTTACTCTATGGTATGCAAGTTTACATTTATTTTATGCCTTTAAGTGTGCTCACTACTGATCAGCATCTTGAAAACTCTTGAGATAAATTATGCTCTAGATGAGAGGGGGGATATATTAGGCAAGTGCTAGTAGAGGGAAAATGTTTTTCTTCATCTGCTTAGGTCAGTAGTTGTGCAGGTCGTCATTGATATTCTTTTTCTCAGCATGAGAAAATGGAATGAGGGTTTTGCCCCTAAAGTTAAAAAGTTAGGTGTCCTCTATTTGTTGTCTTGGTCTGCAATTCTGGTATCACCAGCATCCAGAGGAAAGCATCCAACTCCACCTTGCCATTATCCTCCGTCTGCTTTACTGTGCACAAAGTCAGAAATTAATCAAAAGAGTGCTTGCTGTTCTCTCTTTAAGTGTAGTGAAGTTAAGAAAGAACTATAATATTTCTCTCATTTGGGGAAAACCTGCAAGACAGGACACTGATCAGAACTGATATTTGAAAAGTGGTGTATGAGTAAGGTTAAGTGACGTGGACTTCATGAGCAAAACGATCAACTCTTACAAAGCAAAAACCAAAATCTTGGTTTTGAAATGAAAAAAAATTCATTTCAGTAACAGCATTTTTAAAAATGTTCATTTTTTTAGACAAATATGGTGTCTCTGGAAGGCCTTACCAAAGTAGTTGATCCTTCTCAGCTAACCCCAGAATTTGATGGCTGTTTGGAGTACAACCATGAGGAGTGGATAGAAATCAGAGTTGCCTTTGAGGACTACATTAGCAATGCAACCCATATGCTGTCCAGACTGGAGGAACTGCAAGATATATTGTCAAAAAAGGAAATGCCTCAGGACCTGGAAGGTGCTCGCAATATGATAGAGGAGCATTCACAATTGAAGAAGAAAGTCATTAAGGCCCCTATCGAGGACCTTGATGTGGAAGGACAAAAGCTGCTCCAGCGGATACAGAGCAGTGATAGCTTTCCCAAAAAGAACTCTGGGTCAGGGAATGCGGACTTACAGAACCTTCTACCCAAAGTATCCACCATGCTGGACAGGCTGCACTCAACACGGCAGCATCTGCATCAGATGTGGCATGTGCGGAAGTTGAAATTGGACCAATGTTTTCAGCTCAGGCTGTTTGAGCAGGATGCTGAAAAGGTAAGGGATTGGGGGTAGGGGGAGTACACATGGGCACTGCCTGGTGGACTTAAATGTACCCCGGGTAACTGCAAACAGTAATTTTTGTCTGGGAGTTAATCACTAGCCTTTTAATGAGAAATAAGGGATTTCTTGATGGAGAATTTGACTCTCAGCCTTCTGCTGTAGAGGGGATAGGGTAGTAATTCTAAGCCGTGAAGAATGCAGGTAGCTCTCACCAAAGAAAATTTTAAGCAGTAGTCACTTCACAGCTTTTGCTTTGGTAAGTTTTTGTTCCAGACGGGTTTTTGCGTGCATCAGATGAAGATGAACGCTGCATACTTTATATATACAGATGGCTAAGGACTACATCAGTCTCCTTCTGAGCAGCCCTTGGGATTTGAGTGACAGGCAGTTGACACAGTCTGAAGAGACTGATATGAGGAACTGCTTCATTGATGCAGGATTTAAAGTTCCAGGCTAAAAACTGATTTATCTCTTTTGGCAGTGCATATGTCATTAATAGGGGACTGAGTGATCTCAGAATGTTTCGGGCTAACCAGTCCCTTCAAATGAGAAAGACCTTGATTGTCATGGTATTTGAAGAGTAAATATGGCTGGCAGTACACTTTTAGATGAGCTCAAATAAGATCTGTTTTCATATAGAATGGTTTTGCAATCACTTATTATTAACTTGTTACCATGGAACAAATAGCTTTAAGGAAGGGTGGGGAGTTTTTTTCTGGGAGAAGAAGTAACCAGACTATGCAGTCAAATGGTAAGTATGATCTCTGTAAGATTTCTTAAAATTTTCTGTGTAAGAATGCCTGAACTGGATGAGACCCAAGGTCTGTGTTAAACTAGTATCCTACTCTCCAGCAGTGCTTGTGAGCAGGTGCATGGGGAACGGTAAAAACAGAGCAAACATACATAATGCTACTTCTTCCTCCTCCTTCCTCTGTTTTCTTCCCCCTTAGTTTCCCTTACCCTCATCATTTCAGCTCAGGGACTTCCTGTGTTCGTAATGTTTTCTGCTGTGTTTAAAAAAGAAGTAATTTTTAGAAGTGCCATTTAAGGTAAGTGTTTACTGAATGGGTATAGCTGAAAACAGTAGGGGCATGTAAAGAGTTGAAAAAAATCTGGTCAATTGACTCGAGAGTTTTAAAATTATTTAGGAAATAATAAGCTGTTGGTCTAGTATTGCTCTTTCAGGCCTAAAGACTCTTTAGCAACCTTTCAACCAGTTAATTACAGCATTAATTATTCTTTATTACAGCATGAACAAAATAGATTTTAATGGTGCTTATGTGCTCTTGAAAGATACGTTCTGCATTAACTGATGTAAAAGTTGCTGACATAACTTGGGCCTCAAACAACTCCTTGTGAAATACTTGAGCCTGTGGGATTGAGCTCTGTCCTGCCAATTTACTTTTAGATGAAGGCCCTTGCCTTAATCTACTTGTAGCCCTTAGTTCACTGCTTGTGTCAGATTGGATTTCATAGCTCAGGACTTCTTTATCAGTGTATGTCTGTGTGGTTTATTTAGGTGTGGGAAGGGGCTAGAGCTTTATTGGAAAAATAAAAGTATTGGATGGGGAGAAATAAATACGTTCATTTTGGTGGACTCGCACAATTCTTGGAGAAGAAATCTGGGTCCAGGGGAAGAGAAGGCAAAAAAGGGGCAAGGTGAGAGGGAATCTGGTTGGAGTTCCCCCGTATGTATCTGAAGGCAGCAACCTAAGTCTACCTAGAGAGGGGTGATCACGAGCAGGACCTATGTCTGTTTTGAGTAATGTAACACATCTTCACTGTAGGCTAGATAAATGAAAAAAATCAGCAGGAGCATGTGATCAGCAGTCTCCGTTGTTTAAGCTCTTCAAACTTTTTCTTTGGTTTACAGTCCTTACCACATTGTAGTCTATCTATAATTTGATTTGTTGTGTACCTGAGTGGTAGAATGGATTTTATAATATTGCTCTGTAAGCCAGCATATTTTAAAAGATCTTTAAAGACTTTCTGCTCATTGCTACCATTTTTTTTTCAGAACGATCTTTCCCAGCTTATCCAGACAGTAGGTGGGTCTTTTGAGCTGAGATATAGCAAAGATTTCAAGACCATTGTGGGGAAGAGTGGAAAGTGTGAAACTTCAGCTGTGGTGCTTGGTCTTCGAAAAGTTTGCCTTCTAGTGCCACTGTTAATATATCTGTGTACCTCCATTGAAGGCCATTGTCAGATAAGGTCTTTCCTAAAATTTGACTATTAAAATACCTTTTTAAATAAACAAACAAAACAAAACAAAAAAACCCAAGAACAACAAAAAACAACCCATAAACAAACAACCAAACCAAACAAACAAACAAAAAAACACCACCAAAAAAAACCCACCAAGCTTGTCTGGAAGAAGATAATATGTAACTGTGATCTAGTATAGGATTTTTTATGTTGTTTAGCAATAAAAAATTTGTTTCCAAATTTGCTGTGAAGTTATGAACTAAAAATATTATATTTGTTGCCAAAGTACTTGATCAGCAAGAATGGATTTATGTTTAATTTCTGTGAATTCCCATTTTAATTCTAAATTACTAAGCTGCTGACATAACGAAATCTTGACCCTAGAGAAAGTATAAGCTTGGTAGCTCAAGATTGTGCTCCAAACCTGTGTGTTTATTATGACTTCTTTTTAGTAATGAAGTTTATGACTTCATGGTTATGACTTTACTGTACCTTGTTGAGATAAACACTTACAGTAAAACTTTAACAGCCTCAGCTGATGGGTCCAAAAAGTCAGGCTTCAGTAATGAGTTGGTTAAAACATGTGGTAACTTACAATGGAAAGAGCATCCGTGTTAAACTTTTTGACTTCTGTGTTCACTAGTTTCTCACGTTACTTGTCTGTAATTTCTACCATAACAAAATAGTTACTTTTTTTTTTCTTTCCTTAATATTGTCTTGTAGATGTTTGACTGGATCACACACAACAAAGGTCTGTTTCTGAACAGCTACACAGAGATTGGAACCAGTCACCCCCACGCGATGGAGCTTCAGACACAGCACAATCATTTTGCTATGAACTGTATGGTAAGAACAGGCCTCACCTCACAGTACTGACATGTCTGTTTGCTCTATGTTAAGGTAGAATTCGTCAGTCATACACATAAATCATTCCTTCTGTTACAAGTAGTACAAATTTGTATTAGAGCAGTGAAATTATAAAACGCAAAGGATAGCCAAGCCCAGAGGTACTGTGATCAAGCAACAAAATTATTTTGACAAACAGCAGTGTTCAGCACAGCCTCAGCACTTCCCAAATATAAGCACCCAAACTTCTAGAACAAGAGATGTGTCTTTGAGTGCTGCTTTGGATCTTGCAGGAAATTTCAGAGGATCGTGTAATATGGAATTTAGTGCTTCATACAGAAAGAAATAGCTCTTTCAATCTTGATAGATTGCAACTCAGACAAAAAGTTCTGAGAAGCAGTAATCGACAGCTGAGCCTTGTATAATAATTTTCTATATCTATAAGAAGACACATTTCTCATTTCTGGCACAGTAGAATGGAGGCAAAACTATTTTTTGTCAATCTGAAGATGAGCTATCAGTAGGCTACAGTTAAAATTTTGAGTTTTAACTGACAGTGAGAGAAAGCTGCTTATTTTCAGTTTCATTAATTCCTGTTTGAACATGGGAGCTAAATTCTCAAGTACATTTTAGGTCCTTTTCACTAGGAGGATTGGAGGTGATTAAGTAACTTTGGGTATCTGTGCCTAAATCCAGTTCCTGGGTGCCAGCTCAATGGAGGAGAAACACTGCCAGTCTTGTTAGAAATTAACATCATTGGCAGTCCAAGTATGGGACTTGAGTTAAAGTCAAAACAATCAACTCTTGCAAGAAAGTGTTTTTGTAGGACAGGGCTACTAACTGTGGAGAGTGGCAGAGTAAACTTTCCTAGGTTGTGCACCTTGCTGAAATAATGGAAGGACTAGTAAGTCAGCTCATGCATAGGGTATAGCTAAAGTTAAGGCAGCAGAAGACACAAGTAGAGGAGATACATTTTCTTCTTTTGTAACAGCCATGTTTGCAAAAGTTTAAAAAAAATCAGTATGAACTTTTTGAAAAGAGTAAGGCAGGTGCTGGGGTCTTTGTAATTAAGTTATGCAACATTATATATGAATGTAACTCTGACCATGAGGTTTGGAATGTATAGGTTGCAACACAGGCACAGGGAATTGCTCCTTTAGGGAGTGCCCTGTTGTTACTTACTGCTCTGCATGTGAAGTAGAGGAGAAAGAAACTCACAGAAGGATGGTGGGTGTCATTGACATGAGATGACTTTTGGAACTTAGTAATTTTGGATGGTCTTCCAGGCAATTCTTGTCCTTGTAATCTAAAGGTTAAATTCTTCTGTCATCCTGTCCTGGTATTAGTGACTGTTGTCCTTTCTTCTTCAAACTGAATTACTTTTTTCTTTATTTTTAATTTTGTCTCCTACTTCCATACTGTTCAGATGCTATCAACAGTAGGAAACCCTTGAGTGATGTAGCAGCTCTGGCTGTTTTTGCTTTTAGTCTTCACTGTTAATCTCTGTTTTGCCTGTAGTAGTCAAATGCATTAGTTACAGAGGACTTTTTCTCAGTCTGTACAATGATTTCTTGACATGTACAAGGACCAGCTTAAATGTGGGGCAAATTAAATAGTCCAAAGATTCAAAAAGGGAAAAACAAACTGTGTTTTTCTGCGTGTTTCTATAGCATAGCCTCCACAAAAAGTAGTTCTTTGGCACAGAATAGGAAAATACAAATTCAAAATGATCAATTTCTGATTTTGATGAAAGCAGCGTTCAGATTTTCTGGGTTTTATTTGGATAAATGGCAAAAGCGTTACATGTAGATTAGAGGAAAGATTAAACTGAATGTGACATTAAAAAAATGATGTGAACTGATTAAATTTTGGCAGGTCTTATTTTTCATTAGCTTTTAACTAGAAAAGGTCTGGCAGTCTTAACTCCTTGCAAGCACATTCCGCTTCTCCCTGACCACTTTTCACATTCACTCTGTGCTTAACAAGCTACTGTGTGTTCATTGTTCCTGTCAGTATAACTCTTCAGTCACCAGAGTTGGTTAAGATTTCTTCTGTGAATGCTGTAACATTAGAGATGGAATGTAGCTTTTAACCTGTCTACAACCATTCAAATTTATTCAGTTGGGTGGAGTAGAGGAAGGAGAAGTAGCAACTATGTATAAGGTTCATTATATGCAAGAGATTTTGAAGGCTTTTCATTGTGGCTTTAATTGGACCCTAATAGACCTTGCTTTCCAGGCAGTTTCCTTAGGCTCACTTTAGGCAGGGAAAGGCTGTTCATAGGGTAAGTGCTGCCCAAGCAGCTAAATGCAACCTCTTGCACTTGCTCACTGATAACTGATCTTGTTGCTGCTTTTCCCCACACATTGTGGTTGCAGCAGGGCATGTGCCACCTTTACAGCACATGCTACCTTCTGTCAGTGACTGGCTCTCTCATCTCCCTTTCCTTCCCAAGTAGCAGCTTGGCTTTCCACGAGGTGCGGGAGTCTGGCTTCTGCAGCTGCTTGCGCCAAACTCAGGTGGGAAAGAGCGATGGCCTTTGGGTGAGACGCCAAAATTTTAATCTGAAATGAGCCACCTGGATGTAAATCATTGTGAAAGCTACTTAGTGCCCGTCAGAAGCAGGAGTTGGTTACATCAAGGACAAAGAGGATTTGCAGAATATTTCTCTTTTTTTCCCTAGGAATAGCTTTCTGCCATTTTTAGAATCTGATTTTCAGTATTACAGTCCTAAGTAGCTGAAGGTTTAAACCAAATGTTGTAAAACAAACAGGGGAAGAACACATCAGGGAAGATTTAATTGTTCTTTCAGCAGTTTCATCAGTAAGCCATAAGCCTCTGAATCCTGTGTATTCAGTATGTGATAGGCTCATGTGATTGCACTTCAAGGTAACAGGAATAAGTTCATGAAAGTCTTAAGTTGGTTCTCATTGCAGTGAAACTGTCCCAGAGAAATGCTGGGTAGGTGCAGTGGAACGCGGACATGCATTTGGTTACCATGGCTTAACATACAGATTGACGTGGCTAAAAAGGCAGCTTTCTGAAAGGTAGTTGCAAATACAAAAATTATTTGTTGAGTTTTTGAATAGCAAAAAAACATACCCATGATTATACGATTAGTCAGTCTTGCATGCAAGAGTGAGAGAGGCTGGTTCCATGCCATCCACTCTTTTTCCTGCTGTTTTCATATGCCTGTTGGGACACAAGGGAAACAAAAGCAGTCATGTGAAATACAGAGGGGGAGGAGGATGTTATCTACTTGAATATTTTCTTCTACTCTTCTTGCTAGACCAAATGGCCTTGCTTTCATTAGAGCTCAGCTGTACCTCTCACTGCGCTGGTGAGGGTCAAAGTGTTTGGAAGTGACGCAGGCAAAAGGAAGCCACCTTAGGAGAAAGCTGATGCTGGCATCATGCCATTAAAGGGCAGTTAAAGGACATGCTATGACTACTTCTTGTCTTGGGACTGATAAGACCATCATTAGAAGCTATGTTTATTAACCATAATCCAAAAAGTCCTATGTCAGTTGTAAGCATATTGGTAAGTTGATTAATGTTCTCAGAACAGGCTGTTTGCATATACTGAGTTACTTCATGAAGGTGGTAATGAAATTATTAACGTCATCCAAAAACAGAGTGCCAGGCATGGGCACTGGTGAGAGTTTTGGGAGGGCAAAATAAAAGAATGAACACATTTGAATATCACTGGGTGTATAGAGTTAAAAGGTACAAAGTTGTCTTGCTAGACTTGCTCAAATCCAGCCACAGGGACTGTTACAAAGGAGAACATTAAGAAGGTCGGGTGAGGTAGAAATATCTTGGCCAACAGCTAATGCAACTTTTTCTGCTTCCTTTTTACTACTTTAATATATGTAAATATCTATTTCAATCTTGAGATTCCTTTTGTTTTAAATATACATTTTTTTTGTAACCATATGGAATTTTCACTTGAAATAAAACACCGTGTGAATTCTAGAGTGCTCTGAGTCCTCTGAGACTTCAGTAAATGAGAGCAAGACCACAGGTTGTGAACTGTGCATTCTTTCTCAGATGGCTTGGAAATGTGGATATTCATAGAAGACTTTGTGCAGAACAGTGAACAGTAGTGAGCTAGGTCTTCTGTCTTGGGGGTGGCATGTCTGCTTGGTTGGGTTTTGCTTGTTCTTGGTGGTCTGTCAAACTAATAGGTCATTCAGGCAGGGTTTTCAATAAAAATGAATAAGTAAAACTTAAACAGTAAAATCCGTCAATGTCCAACCAATCTAACATCCCTAATAAACAAAATAAAGACTCTAAGTAGACATGGGGCAGTACAGTAGGTAAAATGTATTCAGTCAAGTTTTTGGAAGTTCCGAATAACCATAGTTTAAGCAGACCATGGATCTGTGATGTTCTCGAAGTTCAGGGAACGCACAGCTGTGGACCCTGGTCGGACTGGGAGGATGTGTCTTGAGTGCACCTCCATAAGGGAAGCCTTCCGGTGCCAGAACAGTTAATGCTTACATCCAATGTGTGGATGCCACCAACTTGAGAAGAGATTGAAAAGGCAAAATGAGATTAGGCTATTTCCAATGTAAAGAAGCACTCCAAAGTCATGAGATGAAATAAAATAAGCTAGATGTGCAGCCTTTAAGAAGGAAGAAGCAAACATGTCTATTTTAAAAAGCAATCAGCTGGTGAGGTGTTAATACAGAAACAGGTACGTTCATGTCAATGGATCATGAACTACAGGAATAGGCAGTGGTGTAACTGCAAAGAAGCAAATCTTACTTCATTCGTGGTATTTTTTGGAGGTGCTGAACTTAAGATTTGTAAAGAAACTGCTCTGATTCAGTTGGCCCTACTAGAGAACTAAGTCGAGTTCAGAGCCCCATGCTTAATGTTGTAATGGGGAACATCCAGATGAAAATGATGTGGCTGTAAGAAGAGGTTAAAGGCATGGGCATTTGCTGTGAAAGTGAAGGTAAGTGAAAACTAACAGAGGACAGAAGGTGGTGGTTG